CGCCCTCCAAAACTAACCCTAACCGAGCGCCCTCCAAAACTAACCCTAACCGAGCGCCCTCCAAAACTAACCCTAACCGAGCGCCCTCCAAAACTTTATGTAACAACAAACCGCAAGACTTGAAGCAATAGAAGAGGAACAAAGATTCTCCCGTACTGTAACTTTATGTTCAGATAAATTTGGAATCTTATGCCACGTCTCTGCTTTCAGCTAAAAAAAACTGAAACCGTACACAGCAACGGACAAAGCCAATCGGCGAAGACCACTCCTTTCCAATTGTCAGAACCTACGAAAGAGAAGGTATTGTGAAAATGAATTCATTTTGAAATGTACTTAACGCATGGATTTTGTTGCATGTTTAATTGGCTGCTTATTTCCTCCAAGTGCACGACAATACAGATGGTACCCTAATAGCTTATATAAAAATAGTAGTTTTGCAGAGATGACTGTAAACCATTCCTGCGGTGACATCTACAGTCTAATTCTGAATATTTGCTTTCCTTACATCAGACCTTACTTGACATCTTCACTGGAGTGAAGCTTTTCATGCCTGATTCAGTGGAAGACTATGAGAAACTCCGGCGGTACTTTGTGGCCTACGACGGAGACCTGGTGCCGGATTACGATGCCTCTTCAGCCACACACACCCTTGCAGAGCCCGAGGGAGACGGCGCAGCCCAGAAAGTCAGCGCTGCCTGGATCTGGGAATGCATTCGGAAACGCAGGGTGGTGCCGTCCTGTTGAGCTCATGTCTTCTGCAGCTAGATCTGGGAAATGCATGCAAGTTGATTTTATCCCCCCCCCCTTAAATAATTATGCAATTCACACGCCAGTCAGGTTGGTTTCACACTAAATGGTCCATGGGGGTTGTCTCACCCAGACAGGTATAAACCATATCTGTGACGCATTTCAGCTCTTGTGAGGCATAAAACAGCCATAGTATCTTGCGTGATATACAGCTGGATCATATTTTAATTTTTTATTTTATTTTTTTTTAAGTTGTGGCTATCAGCTTTCTGCTGAGCTGTAAAAACACACATAAGCACACTACCGATTTCATTTTCTTTATGTATGTATGTATTATACATATTTTTTTCCCCCTGAGCTAAATAGCTAAAGGATGTACTTTCCTTTGGTATTCAACCATTTCCATGGTGAACCAGCCCATTTTATGATTCTTACATGTTCCATTTTTGCTGCTTGTACTGAGCAGAGACGTAACGTGCAGTGTGCTGATAGTAGGGATGGGTGTGGCTTGGTAGCTTTTTATTCAAGTTCTGATGTAAAAGCTTTTTCAAAAATGAACTGTTGAAATAAGAGCTCAGCTTTTTAAACGAATGCAGGAAGTCCTCCCGGTGCTTTTTCTACAGCGCTCACTATCACTTAAAGAAACAAGCATATTGACTTAAAGGTGAAACAAGTCAATAAAGAAGTTTAGAATTTAATGGTTGATTTTGTGGTTGCTCTTTAACTGATGATATAGTTGAAAATGGAGCATTGACTTAAAGCACATTCCTCATGTTTTTCCTGGTTGACCAGGAAGTCTGTTTCCTGTACTGCAAGCACCTCATACAAAACTGTTGTGCTTATATGGTGCCCCCTGGCTGCAGGGATAGGTATGACACCTACCCTAGCCTTACTCTAAGTGAGGCATGTCCCCCCTAGTCTGCTACAGTGGCTGCTTTGGGGAAAAAAAACAGGATGCCAAATAAACATGACAATTACAAATTATATTAGTGAAGAATAATAATATTCAAATAGCTACATACACAGCATCACTTTGTCTAATTTCTTACGCTAGATATTTATAAAGTGTACTAGTTCACAATCAAAAATAAACGAGGAAATATTTGTAACTTCAAGCAAAATCTAGGCAGCGTGTTCAAAAATATCAAACAAGCCACCACTGCAAGTAAGGAAATCTGCTCTGCCTAACTTCTGCAAAATTTAAGGCAGGAATACACACAGTCTGGCCGTTTCATAAATGCAGTTCTGTGCTCAGCTGTTTTTCTTTCAAGCAGCCTTTTCCAGCAGCGTGCGCATGACTGCACCACCTCGCCATTATAGGATACAGCTGTTGTACAGATAAAGGGTTTTAAAAGCCGTGGTGAGTCATTAGTGCAGAACCTGAAATGCTTCCTTTAGTCCGTTAACTTTAAACATTCAGGCCTCAGCTGGGACTGTTGCTGACTTGTTTCCTCTTTCCCTGGAGTCCGTGTAGCTTCTCCTCACATTGTCCCCAGTATCTGAGGTCAATCTCCTCCATACTATAACATGGCTACAACAAGAGAGATTATATGTAGAACTGAATGTTTTGTTGCAGTAAAAAAAAAAAAATCAATAAATCGGTTTCAGGTCGAAGTTGTAATTAGGTATTTGAGTTTTAAATATTTGTCTTCAGCAGTCAATTTTAACATTTAATTATGCTCTATAGCAGTGTTTCTTAGCCTGGTCTTTGGGGACCCCCAGACGGAACAGGTTTTTGCACCCTCCCAGCACCCCTGTCTGGCAAGGAGCTGGGAGGGAGAGAAAACGTGGACCGTCTGGGGATCCCCAAGGACCGGGTTGAGAAACACTGCTCCATAGATCCAAGTATAAATTGAATTACAGATTACATAAGATCTTACCCATCGAGAAGACTTGATCAAGGTTGCAGTCCGTAAGCTGCTGCACGTGGACCTGGGTTGCTCTATGCGTTGCAGGAGAACCCGGGTTCGAGGGATGTGGCTCCAAGATTGTCCTAATCCAGCCTTAATCATCCCATTGCCGTCCCTGGTCACGTGGTTGGTCACCTGTCAAATACAATACATTTGGACTCAAACCACACTAGTCTGATCTGTTCAAGAACATTTTCAAACTTCAAATGATCTTTAGATTATATTGCACCTCCCCTTACTAGAACGGCCACGTTAAGGTCTTTGGCGAGTGTCCTCAGTTCCCCTGCAACTTGCATCATCAGTGACATGCCTAAAACAAGACATCTCTTAGACAGGATGGCTATAAAAGACTATGAGTCATAGTAGATTATTTTAATTCTCTTTAACTGGGTACTTACCCTCTGTCTGTTTGCCTCCCAGCATATTAGCCAGAACAGCTGACACAGAGTCCACTATTACTGCCTTTACAGAACTGCCACCAGCCAGGGACTACGAGTGGAAGAAACAGCACAACTTCCTTGAATTTATTAGTAAAGAACCACAAACTGTTGTTTATTCATGTCTAATGTTATTACGGAGTAACAGTGTGCTGTGTCTGGGAAATGAAGGCAGTGGTTAGTATAACAGTATTTGACGTGGATTTTACACTTGCAAGTTCAGGCACAATGATAAGGATTACAATTTGTATTTTGAGATATTCAGTCAGAAGTGTGTAAGAACCCTGGTTACAGCAGACAAATCCAGAGGAGGAGGATGAAATGGGCAATTTTATTTGGTGGTTTGATAGGGAGACAAATGTAGAATAAAACAAATGCATGTCTTGCTCTAATCAGCAAAAAAATAAATCTCATGAGCCTAACATATGTATAACTTTTACTTTAAATGAGTTTCATTTTTGGAGGGATTTATATCCAACTTTGACCCTCCCCAGTCTAAGACTGCTTTCATAAATATGTTTAACATAAATTATTAAATATACACATCACTAACATTAGAATTAAGTACAAATCATCCTCACCTGCTGAAGGCCAGTACTCCTGAAATGGTGTAGACACTCAAATAAGGAGAACACATCAAATACTGGACACACTTGGATTCTTCCAAGAGCTTCCATCTATAGACACAACAATAAGCATAACACACATTCTCAATTAGGGTCCCAAAATTCTGGGAATTTTCCCATATATTCCCATTAATTACCCTGGAAAGTTTCCAACTTGGAATATCTCCATAATTCCCCATCTTATCGTCCCATTGAATGGAAAGTTTAAGGAAAGTTTCTTCCTCTTTGCAAACCTGTTCTCGATATAAGCCCTTAAATACTAGCTGTAATCATACATAGCTTGCTAAGCAAAAAACAGCCTGATTCATAAATCATTGCTTAGCCAACAACATTACCAGCACTTATATACCTGCTCTTCTGCATTACTAATTTTGGCTTTTATCATCTGCAGCAAACGGTTAGCAGAAAGTCCCCCCGTGGAGTCAATATATAGAACACTCTGCTTCACTTCACATGATATATTTACTGCCACACCAAGACATATCTGAAAAGAGGAAAAAAGAAAGCAAGATGAAATGAAAATGGGAATTTGTAAGTTCAATTACATCACAAACAGTACAATTCTGACCTGATTTCATTGCCTACATTTATAGCTAATTGTAGGGCTGGGCGATATCATATTGATTTTATATCGCGCATGCACAATAATCACCGCCCTGGTCAGATGACAGACGAAGCATTTGGCCAGACGCCAGCTTTTCGGTGCTATACGGACATTAATTTACGCCCATAATTTGGTAAGAGGATTAGTAGTATGGCTTAAATATTAATGAGATGCGTTTTGTGATACCCAAAAGTTAGTAATCTGTATAAACTTTACGTTTCTTAAATTCGATTAGAGGAGCACTCCACATAGTACTGTTTGGTATACCTCGCGGTGAAGAAGAGCAGCCACGACATCTTTTAAAAGAGGAGATCTTGTGGATAAACAACGTAAAAATACGTCGGCAGTGTGGTGGTACTTTTTGCAGTTCAAAGTCTGACACATTTATTAAACATAAGGATATGCCGTATTTATACTAATAATGACTTTTGGACGTCATACAAAGCCTCATTGATATTTTAGCTATACTACTAAACTGCTTAAATTGTGGGCGTAAATAAATGTCCGTATAGCACCGAAAAGCTGGCGCATGGCCAGATGTTGCGACTGTCATCTGAAGCCCTAGTGATTATTGCGCATGCGCGATATAATATCGATATATCGCCCAGCCCTAGCTGATTGCTGTATTGTTGTGCATTTCATAAACAAACTGATTCAAAATCACAGTTACCCTAAGCTGCTTGAAAGGAATGAATCCCCCTCATCTATTACTTAAGTGCAAACCCTGAATGAGCAATTCCTCAGAGGTGGTTAGGCATATTCTGTATATTAACATTGTTTACCTGAGTTTTTCCAGTCCCAGGAGCACCAACCAGCTCTGACAGTTCTCCAGTATACAAACCAGAGTCTAGAAGCTTATCCAAACTGGGATTAATCACACATAAGATAACATGCATTAACTGATATTAAAAGTGCAAAACAAAAAAGGGATGTAATTCACACAAATCAGAGGATTCACTTTGTCAATTAAAAAAAGTCATGCACTTTATTAAATACCATATGTAAAACAAGATGTGACCTTAAAATCCTCTGTTCCTCTCTAATTACTAATCTTCTCTAATGACTAATTACTATGAAAATGATCTTTTGTATTGAAATTCTGAATTTCAGGCACACATACATTTACAAGCTTTATGGCCACGGGGAATCAGTGCCAGTGAATATTCTGCTCGTAAATCACGTTTTTTTTTTTTTAAATCTCCGAACCACCACCAGTTCCTGAATCATGCTGCGTTTAATTCACGGAAAGTGTCTTGGGTGACAGATTTACTGCAAAGGCTCACCTGGCATTTCCTGTGGAGAGGATGGCGGTGGAGCTCAGTAGCTCCTCATAGAGGTCGGCTCCGGTAACGGGAAAAGCCGAGTTCTGGGCCAAGAGCACCCGGCGCACGGCCAACAGCGTCTGAAAGACAGCGCTGCAGTAGGTAAGATCCCAACCAAGAGCTACAACAAAAGCGCTATACAACTCCTCAATGACTTATTTCCACCAAGCTCTGCTTCAAACTGTCCATTGTTTATCAAGTGTTCAAGTAAAGATAATGGACTTTAAAATCATTGTGACAGTCACTTACCTTGTAAGACACAGAACATTTCTGTGCAAGATCTTCAATGTCTGAAGAGACAAGGTCCACAACTAAAATCGAAAGAGGACTAAAATAAATAGCAGGTTTCGGTGCCCTTACATGCCATTTTCACATCTACCACTCGCCAACTCTTACTGTAAGAGTTTGTCAGGCTCCATCTAGATAACTAAATGCTAAGAGAAAAAAATGAATATTTTGTACAGTTTTTCCCGATAAATCGATGCCAAACCTGGTAAATTTGCATCCATTATCATGCAACTCCATACCTGTCCTAATGTTTTTGGCACGCAGTGCTTGAACCACTTCATCAGTCAATCCAGGACACAGGCCCTCTCTCAGAAACACCATGGCAGCTGAAATGTTCACATTTATACAAGTAATATTCTGTATTCTTTAAAGCTGGACATCTCTTGTATTGATCTGGTGAAAATGTGTCCAAATTAGTAATTGGTTAATTTAAATAAAGCTTTCAGAGACGAATTACATGCACTTAAAATACTACGTTACTACGTTAAATTAATAAAAACAATAAAGACGTGTATGGAAATTTAAATAAAACAATGCATGCAAACAACCTAGTGCGACTTTTACGTCTAGTAATGTTTCGATTATCGGGGGATACGTGAGATGACTGGCATAAATCTTTAGAAAATCGAACATGTTCAATAATGTGATATATTTCAGTCGGGTAAACTTACATGCCTTGTTCATAAAGGTTATCCGCCTGTTGATGTATATATTTTAATCAGCCATCATTGTTCGTTTATTTATAAATGTGATCAAAATGACAATCTACTTCAAAAAGATATAATGCTATATATATATAATGCTAGATAGTACGCAGGATGGCAAGATGAGTACTGTGCTGTTTCTTGTCAACCGAGATTAGCTATGCTTTAACTCACGGAAGAACAATGCCGGCTTTTTCCCGCTCTTAAAATAGCCCGCCAGATAAGGTGTTTTCTCTTGTTATTGTGCACTTAATCTCATCTTCACAGGCAAGCTTGCTATATTCGTTGCATCTGGTGTATTCTCAACGCATGCATGCAATTCCTTCTGGAAGCTGACAAAATCTGGTGTCATCCACGCTTTTACGTCCATGTAACATTTACTTCGACGTCATCCCGGAATAGAGAATCCGGCCATCGAGAAGGCTTGTCACTGCTACTGTTTACGATGTTTGCGTACGCAGATGAAAAAACGCCGGAAGCGTCTTGAGTGCGTGCCTTAAAAGGCTTACGGAATAGGAGCTCGGACGCAAAGGCTGCGCAATACGGACGGAGCGAAACAAGCGAATACTAGAGAAGAGGCAGTCCGGTTACTGAAGATCGGAAATATAAATACCGTGGAAAAAAAATCGAGGCTGTAGTCACCACCGAGGGCGGTGGGGGCAGGCAGATGATGGGAAAGAAAGCGAACAACCGTCCTAACGTTGTTAATCACGGTTGCCATCAGACGCTGTCCTTTATTTGCAGTACCAGAAAGATATAACTAGTTGGCTAGCCGTGGAGCTAGCTAGCTAGCTAGGCAGCCAACAACAACTTACGACCCGCCGTCGTCCCGAAAACACAGAGAAAATGGTAAGCCCTCCTTGTGTGCATATATTAAGATTTTAATCTCTTTTGTCCATAACGCACCACACCGAGGATTTATTGTGAAGAACTGTATACACATATGTTGACTTTTATGTTCGCTAAATAACGTGAGAGTCACACTGGTAACACTAGCAAAGGCCTCTGCTGTGCTGCTTTGCATTCAGTCTCGCTAATAAAAAAGGGAAGTCAATTAAATGTATAGACAATTAATCGGTTTTTAATCTCTTAATTGAATATCATCTGAATACGTTTACTAATTGTCGTATTAATAGGCTGCAGTGGTTTTAAGACCGTACTGTCGTAGTTCGTACAGTATCTAACTGGCTTAGTCGTTGTTATGGTTAAAATAGACAAGTTGGTAAGATGAGATGGTGCTTTTCAAGCCGTCAACTTAAATTAATTTTCCAGAAGTTAGTAAATATAGGTTAATTTGTAACTGTAGCGTACCAGCTTAGGTGGGTGTGACGTGGAGGACATGGGAAAGTCGATTTCGGAGCTGTTAATAATACGAGATAGTCATTTTCCAGCGGTTGATGTCTCACAGGACGCAGGGCATGGTTGTGCATTCGCAAGTGGTGATCTTTGGACGTTAATAAAAGCATTTAATGCAGATGTGCAGTGAAGGCAGTGTTGCGATGCAATTAAAAGATGCAGAAGATAGGGAATCTGCAGTCTAAGGGGTTTATGCGCTTTCAGTTACGCCGGCCTCCGCCCATAGTGAAACGTGAAACAATGTCAAGTGCTGCTAGATAATTCTGAAATTATATTTATTTTTAGTAGTTTTTAAGGGCACCTGCAGATGGTAAGGTAAACGGAGCGGTAGAATAGTTGTACATTGGACGCCGGTTGTACAGTGTTTTTCTTCTGGAGCTTCATAGGGATGGGTATGTTTGACGCTTCAAAAAAGATATCCAGGGTCAGTCTGACCATATAAGATTTGAAAGGCAGCCGAAGCAGCAGTCTGCATACGGCTTTTGGACAGATGCACGCTGTAGCATTTTTCTCCTCCTTCCATGCGAGGGACGCTGATGTGTAGAGCTGTTGTTCTACGCAGATGGACAACGGTGTTTTGTATGCTGGAGAATATGATTAGCTAAAGGAACCGTCTTGTCCAAGTGTGCTTCCTCCAAGTCTGGATCTGTTTATTAATAATTCTGATGATGTTCAATCTCTCATGAACATGCATTTTATGTGGTGGGACAACACACCTTTTGTAATGGATTTAATTAGCATAAAACAGATTTTGATTGAGTTTTGATAGAATGAGGGATTGCCCAAAAATTTTTGGCATGTTATTAAAGAAACATGCTGCTTTCTTCCAAAGCAATTAATTAGTTGTCCTTCACTTTTCCTCTTTACCAGATAGTTCTTGCACAACGTTGAGGTGTGTTGCATAATCAACATAATGTGATTGCATAATCAACCATAATCCAAATGGAATGGAAACCCTTTGATTTGTGCTGGTTGACATTAATCTTGAATTTGGAAATATTACTTTTTTAAAAAAAAAAAAAAAAAAAAAAAAACAACAATCAGCAAAGCACCCCCCCCCCAAACAGATACTTCCATGTTTGACAGTGGGAACCCAACAGAATCCATGTGCTCACCTACCCTATAGATTTTAATATTTGTAAATTTATACATTTTGGCCAACTTTTACTCTTGTTCATGCTACCCCACAAAGTTGGGGCACTGTGTGAACTGTAAACAGAATGCAATAATTTACAAATCATATAAACCCATATTTTATTGAAAATAGAACAAAGACAACTTATCGAATGTTAAAACTGAGAGATTTTGTTTTATATGCTCAATTTGAATTTGACGCCAGCAACACATTTCAAAAACGTTGGGACAGGGGCATGTTTACCACTGTGCTGCATCACCTTTTCTTTTAACAACACTGTAAATGTTTGGGAACTGAGGAGACTGGTTGCTGGAGTTTTGAAAGTGAAATGTTGTTCCCTTTATTGCCTGATATACGATTTTAACTTCTCAATAGTTCATGGTCATCTTTGTATTTTTCATTTCGTGATGCTCCAAATGTTTTCAATGGGTGACAAGTCTGGACTTCAGGCAGGCCAGTCTAGTATCCAGACTCTTCTATTTCAGAGCCATGCTGTTGTAATACACATAGGATGTGGTTTGGCATTGTCTTGCTGAAACATACAAGGCCTTCTCTGAAAAAGACGTTGTCTGGATGGCACCATATATTGGTCCAATACCTGTGTATATATCGTTCAGCACTAACGGTACCTTCCCAGATGTGCAAGCTACCCAAGCTATGGGCACGAATGCACCCCCCATGCCATCATGGATGCTTGCTTTTGAGCTGTGAGCTGATGATAAGCTGGATGGTCCCTCTCCTCTTAGTCCAGAGGACGTGGCATCCAAAAAGAATCTGAAATTTTGATTCGTCAGCCCACATTTTGCCTCAGTCCATCTTAAATGAGCTCAGGCCCAGAGAAGTCGGCAGCGTTTTTGGATCATGTTTAGATCTGGTTTTTTCTTTGCGTGGTAGAATTTCATCCTGCATTTGTGCAGCGACAAACTGCGTTCATAGACAGTGGGTTTTGGAAGTGTTCCTGAGCCCATGTAGTGATTCCCACTATAGAATTGTATCTTTTTAATGCGGTGCCACCAGAGGACCTGAAGATCACTGCTATCCAATATTGGTTTTCGGCCTTGTCCCTTGAGCAGAGATTTCTCTGAATTTTTTAATGATATCATGTACTGTGGATGAAATTCCTTTTTTTGCTGTATTACATTGAGGAACATTATTCTTAGATTGTTGCAGTATTTGCCCACAGCATCTTTCACAGAGTGGAGAACCTCTCCCTGTCTTCACACCCATACTCCCCCAGCCTGCTCTCTGTAGGGCACGCAGGACCCACAAACGTACCGGCGACCTTCCAATCACAGGCACAGAGGCTTAGCACACTGAGCCACATGTTGACCACTGATGTTGCTGGCATCAAGTTCAAATTTAACATATACTGTGTTTGTCATAAAACTATGTAATTACTAAGTTTCAGCATTTGATAAGTTTTCTTTGTTCTATTTTCAATCAAATATGGGTTTATATGATTTGTAAAGCATTTACGTTAGCACAACGTTTTTTGGAAGGGGGGTTGTACACAAGTATACTGTTTAAAACATAGTTATGGTTTGTAGCATGTATACTCAGATTTTCAGAAATCACAGTGCCCTTTACTGTGCTTGCTTTTAATCAGAGTTATGTTTAATTGTGAAATCTAACCTTTTTATGCTTTAGTCTGGAAGCCTTAAGTTTTAGTCTTGTGCACGCAAATGACAGCAGGTTCAGAATTGCTGGGTGGTAATCTGTATGTCATTCCAGGTCTACCTAATCAACCCTCTGGAGAACCTGAAGACCTACATCAGTAGCCGTCCGCCACTGGTCATCTTTATGGTCAGTGTCAGCACTGTAGCCATAGCCTTCCTCACCATTGGCTACTTCTTCAAGATAAAGGAAATAAAATCTCCAGAGTTGATGGAGGTATGAGGCTTCATGGCATTGTTTTCTTTCTCTTTTAAAAGAAAGATGAATGCACTGTGGCGTGATCCAGCTGCTGCCTTCAGACATTCATTCTGAGACCGATTGTACTGGTCATGTGATTTTGTCTTTAAAATTAGCATTGCAACAAGCCTTGCGTTCTTCTCGCCTTTCACAGTAGGGCTTCAGCTTTGAAGCTGAAACTTACTTCAGTAGTAGGAGCATTTCAGGTCAGTCACATCTCTGCATTCAGGTCAATTTACAAATTGGCCTCAGAGGCATGTTGGTAAATAATTTTAACATTGCGTATAACAAAAAGCATGTTTTGCCTTTTTTTTGTCTGGTTTTCCTTTCAGCACATGAAGGCTACAGTAACATGGTTCACATTTGCTACCCTGTCATTCAAGCCTTTGGTTTTGTGGGCTTTATTCAACTGTTCACAGGACTGGAACACCTTCTTGCTGCGCTTTAATGAGCTGGACTTCTGCATTTCGGAGAACGAGACCCTGAAGCATAGCTTGAATGAATCCACTACCCCCGAGAGCACGGTCACCAGCGGCCAGGCTCGCCCCAGCACGCAGGCCCCTTCTCTGCTGGAGGACCCTGGGCCCATCAATATCTCTGTTCCCATCACCCTCACCCTGGATCCGTTGCGCCCCTTTGGAGGCTACTCCCGCAACATCACCCACTTGTACGCTACGATTTTGGGTCAGCAAGTCGGCCTAGCAGGTATCGAAGGCAGTGCCTCGTGTAGGATGAGGATGTCGGTGCTCATCTTCGAGACAGTGGTACACTTAGCATTAGCGCACTTAGCATTAGCGCACTTAGCATTAGCGCACTTAGCATTAGCCATAGAGCATGAATTGAACACCACCTCTGTCTTAATGTGTATTCATGAAATGGGAAATTGTGTCAGTCATTTGAAAATCAAAGATCTTGCTCTATGATGGCGGTACAATACTAGACGTCCTGTGTGCAGAGTGGACTGACTTGCTTTAACTGTGACAAAGACCTATTGCAATGGAAGTATTATTTGAAAAACCTGTTAAGTTTCCACATCATCGCTGGCACATTGTCAACCGCTATTGGTGTGTGTGTTTTTTTTTTCCATGTATGTGATTAAGGGAGGGAAGCCCATGAGGAAATTAACATCACCTTTACCCTGCCTGCATCCTGGAACTCGGACGACTGCGTCCTGCACGGCCGGTGTGAGCAGGGCGTCTTCAGTACCTGTATGACAATTACTGCAGCCAGCAATGTCTTCCCAGTCACAGTGTAAGTTACAGAAGCCTCACAGAATCACCCTGAGTGTGCTTGAATAGTTTGCTTTCAACATGCATGATGTTGTAATGGCCACGTTTCATAGCACTCTGTCATAGATATGTTTAATTTCTCAAAATGAAGTGCTTCAGCTGCTTAGAAGAAGATTCTCCTTGTAGGTTTTGTTCCATTTTCCATAGTTCCTGATCTGTATTCCAGGCCTTCCGTTCAGTGTTTATCCGGCTTGACTTCTCATAACTATTTATCTCCTTTATTTTTGGTTCCAGGCAACCACCACACTGCGTTCCTGAGACCTACACCAATGCTACATCCTGGTATAAAATATTCACCACCGCGAGAGATTCTGACACAAAGTACACGCAGGACTACAACCCGTTCTGGTGTTATAAAGGAGCCATCGGCAAAGTGTACCACGCACTCAACCCCAAGCTCACAGTCATCGTGCCAGACGTGAGTGTGCATTTGACACCTTTGTGTGGGTGACCCTTACTCAGTGCTCACCAAGAGCAAGGCAAATGGCCACAAATTTATTTATGCGTGAATATTTAATTTTCATTTGTATGATTTGCATTTTGTATTTGCATCAATTGCAAATATAATATGCATTCAGGTCAGTTTAGGAATCTGCTTGGTAAGTTGGTGTGCAGCTACCTCCATGCACTGCTTACTGTGTTAAGGAACTATTTTAATCTCTGTGGGGCAAGTTAAAATCCTTCACTGCACTTTGCCTAAAATAATTTGCTCTCCACAGTTATGCTTTTTTAGATACCATGACAAAAGGATACACAGCTGGAATTTAAACCATCTACAAGGTCTTGAATATGTTATTTATCATCCCTACTTTCTTCAGGTTTAAATGTTTTGTTTTTTTCCATAGGATGATCGTTCTCTTATAAACCTTCATCTAATGCACACCAGCTACTTCCTCTTTGTGATGGTGATCACAATGTTCTGCTATGCAGTCATCAAGGGCCGACCAGGCAAAATACGGCAGAATAACGCAGATTTCTGCCCTGAAAAGGTAAATATCTCGCGTAAGATTACAAGCACACTGAGCCAGAACGGTTGAGCCACAGTTTGGCAGCCTTGGTGTCTAGACCAGGGCTTGGAAGCGTAATTTCATACCATAATGTACATCAGTCTCTGTCTCTTCAGTTTAGCTGCTCAGTCACATGGTGAAGCTTCAGGCAGAATCCAGTCTTCCATAAATCTACTCTTAAAGGGGAACTCCACCTGAAAATAGTACTGGAGAATAGATTATTAAGTACAAAAAGCAATTACCAGGATTTAATGTATATTCAAAAGAAGTAAACTTTTTTTTTATTCAGTTTTAAGAGGGGGGGGGGGGTAAGATGTGGTGACCATTCATTGCGATTTTTAAGCACCAACATTATACCAGCTAAGAAACAGTAAAGCCCTGTATTTTACCTTCTGAAAGGTGAATTAAGCATAATTAATTTGATGTGGATTAATCCCAGGAAAAACCTAATGTGCAGCGTTCAAACTGGTAAAGCATAATGCATTCGCCCTTGTAACTTAAATTGTACTTTGGAATTGGGATGATTGACTTTTTATTATGCTTTCTCAAATTTCCCCCCCCATCTAGGTGGCCTTGTCGGAAGGATGCGTTTGAGATCGACGACTTAAATGAACCTTAACTTAAAAGGAGGAGGGGGAAAACTGATTTTACTAGTTGCCTACTGAACCCATGAATGGGTGCACAGCCCTGTGAATGCATTTTTTTCTGAAATGTTGGGTCACTCCAACCAAAGACATTTTAAGTGCCTGTATCTACTGTGTAAATATTTGTAGGATTCTTGAATTCAGTGCAGAAGTCAGCCTGAGTCCGTAATGAAGTCTGACGCAATACTGGAGAAGCTGAGGATGCGATTTTGAGTTTGCGAGTGAGAATTGCACTTCCATCCGACTACCGTTGCATTTCATCATCTGCGTCCGGCGATGCCGCATGCGTCCTCCACGTGTGGACTCTCCCAGCTCTCTCATTACATTTCTGTTTGTCTGGTGAAAGCCAGCCTTTGGTTTCCTTAGCAACGGCTGCCTAAGGTCAATGCCCTTTTGTTCGATTTTTAGGTTTGAGAACTCCTCCCTGATGAGTGTGTTCCTTATTGCCTGTTTTTGAATACCACCTCATTTGCTTTTTGAAAGTTTTCTTCTAAAGATAAAAATTTAAAAAGTTTAAAGTTTAAAAATGAGGTCTGTTTTCAGTGAACTTTCTGTCCCCACTATAAAACAGGAAGTGCCGACCCCAGTCTGGTTCTTTAAGCCCCAAAATTGATAATTTGAGGCAACTCAGTCACAGCGCCATTAAAATAAACCATGTCCAGCTGCTGTAAACTTTTTTTCCGTCTCCATTTTATTGCAGATTTTAAGCTTACGTCCCTCAGTCATTCAAACTATTGCATTTCTAATAAAGGATTTACATCAAAGCAAGCTGCACGCCATTCGAATTCAAACATGTGCGCTACTGGTATGAGAGTGTGATGGATTCTAGGCATGAACTGAACATACTCACAGGCACGGCCATTTATGACTTCTGCTAATATCCAGCTCGGAGTTAGAATGTCACTGTTTACGGTCTTATAACCATTCAGTATAGTTTGCAGAACTACATTTTAGAAATGTGGCTTAAGACTGGATTGCATTTCTCCGCCCTTCATGTTTGGATCTGTTTAATGGTGAAATGTACTGTATATTATAGCTAACTGATTTCACTTGTAATGATTGAACATTTTTAATTTACCTCTGATCTTTTTTTTTTTTTTTAAACAAATACTTCATGAATGTATTTTCTTCCAGCAAAATTGCAGCTTTGGAGTGTAAACCCTACTTTGTTACAGATTATCGGAAGTTTTTTTTTTTTCCCCCCCTCACCTCTCCAATCATGTAAATGTTTAATGTAATTAGGCTCAAAGCCTCTTTCTCACTTAAAAGTTGATTATACATGCACATTTCCATTTTTGATCTAGCCAGCCTTGCCTCGCGTGGCAAACACATGCTATTATGAAGTTATGTTAATTTAATGAAATAAATCAATCTTAAGAAATAGAATTCATAGCTTCCCTTTAAAAATAAGCATTTCCTGTCTCTAATCTGCAGCTCATATAAGGTGTGAAATATATTAAACTGCTGATAGCTCAGGGGGCTTATAGAAAAGCTTCAAGTCTCCAACAAAACCATTAGCGGACTTGTATCTTACATGCTGATATGTTTTGTTTTGAATAATAGCAGCAGAACAACTAAAGAACATGCATGTAATGTCAACTCAACTATCTAATTTGTGTCTTTACCTGCATGTAATTTGTAGCTGCAGGTTTGTATCATATCAGCTGTTAATCTTGGCCCCCCAAGGATATTGATTAGGAAAGCAAGCATAATTCTGCTGTACTTTATTGCGTAATGGGGAAAGTTTTTACTTTAAGGAACTATGGTATTACCTGTCGAACAGCATGTCTGCGAAGCAAACCTGCCGTGCTTTTTTTTTTTTTTGTATATAGACAGTTAATTTCCAATCCATTACTTGCTAATTCTTTAAATTCATTTGACTGCTGTCTGTATGCTAATCCTTTCTGCTTATAGTACACGGTCAGATCATTATTTTTTTTTTTGTATAGCTTTATGGCCATTTTACACCACCGTACAATTTGCTGTGACTTTAGTTCCGCTTCCTTTACACGAAGGAGGAAATACTTGTATCCATTTTCTCTGTATACCTTCTGATTTCCATATGCATATTATTTTTAAAAAAAACACACACACTTTTGTGCATTTAATTTTGATGGACCAAAACAAAAATCATTCACCCTTACATCTGTGATGCTGACACGTCCCATAGACACTGCCCTCCTTTTAAGCTATATGAGCTCTGCCTGCCTTCAGCTGACGACGTCCCGGCACCTTAGCACGTGCTGCGTGCTCTCTGGGCTGCTGTCTGCGAGCGTCCCGAAGCGGGAGAGTCAGTTCCTTGTTTATGGTTCCGGAATGCACCGTACGCATGGTGACGCATGGTGACCGACTTGGGCGGTGGCAGGCTCTTTATCATTTTCATCATTGCTCATTTTCCCCTTCCTTTGCCTTCCCGCCATGTGTTGATGCGTTTCACGTACCCTTACAAATCCCAAGTACACTAGTGAAGTACGGCATTGAAAGCTGGGACAGAGAGACTGTTTCTTATGCATGCATGCATGTGCACTTGGAGGTTGAAATTCCATTGCTTGTCCTGATATAAATCCTAGAGGGCATTTGTTTGTGTCAGTCTATCATAATCTCTACATATGACTGAACAGTGGGCCAGCACCCTACCCCTGTTTGCCCCCCCCCTCCCTCCCTCCCACTCTCTTCCGATCTCTCTAGCAGTACGAGTACGCAGACAGCTACCGTGTAAGTGCCTTGTGCACTAAACCACAGTGTCACCAGTGTAAATAGCTCTTCCATTTCAAGTTGTGATGACGAAGGTCAGCCTTCCAGTGACCAATTTTTTTTTCTCCCTTCAGTAAAACAGCTGTAATTTACCCAAGTTGAAATAAACAAATAAATAATCTGACACATTCTGGTGTCCATCTCAGTTACTCACATGGAAATGTTTTGTATTTTAACAATATAAACTTCTAATATGTACAATTTGTCTTCATGAAAAGATGTTTTTGACCATAAATTGTACTTTTTAGGTTCAGTATCATTTCATTTAGCCGAACATAAAATACATTAAACCACAGGTACTACAACACTGCTATATAAGCATTTATAATCTTTAAAGTTGTTTTATAGTTTCTCAAAGTGTAAACAATTGGCTAATTGTAAAATAAGTGGTTAAACGGGAATGTGGAAAATGATGTATATTGCTGTTTCAGCATGTAACTAAGTTTCAATTGCTGGCTTGCAGTTGTGAATAGATGTTCATGTTACAAGGCACAATGGTACATTTTCTGCCTCAAGCTGTTAGTTAAACCCTCTCGATATAACACTGCATTACTAATTAAACACCAATCCAAATAAGCCACAGAGTATTTTTCATTGTCTATTTAAAACTATGTCACCTTTATTGGGGCGTGGATAGTGTAAAAGCGAACTGGAAGGTAAAGTGTGACATGGATATATGCAATTTTAATGTGTAATACAAAGCTATCATGTATTGTCATTGTTTTGTATGTTTGTCAATATACTGAAAGGAACTCAGTATTTTCTTTTTCAGAAGAATAAATGAAGTCAAACTGCAATTGCCCAACTTTGGCAGTAGAACGCTCACTGAAGGTGACTAATCAATAGTTTGGTCTCCAATATATTTCATGTAAATATAGAACTGAAGTGGCTTTGCTCCTCTCTGTCCCTTTATGAACTGTGTACCAGTTTCTTGTGTTCACATTTCCTCCATTATCCCCAAGTGCACTGGCTTATGAAAGGATCCATTATTGTTCCCCATGTTTTGGTCGCGGCTGCCACGGCGATGACACAGCGAGTTTCCCACCTGTCATACTGCAAGGTTTAAAATATCCCCAGCAAATGAGCCAAACACACAGTGACAATTTGGCTGTTCCCTTGTTTTTCGTTCTTAAATAGGACTACATCACACTGAACAAAAGACTAAAATATAGAGAACTGCACCACATAAATTATTTTTTAAATCAATACTGAAAAATGAATAGAATATCTCTTATCCTCAAGTGAATATGTTGTTTTCACAACTCTGTCTACAGGTACAGCAGTTAGAGAAGAGTCTAAGCGGTCAACATAGCTACAAAACACTGACTTTGGGGAAATAAACGCAGAAGTGTCATATGAGCCCCTTCAGATCAAGCCAAGGATCTGAAACTACAGCTGTGCTCCTGCATGGACACGTAGCCATTAACAGGTTTAAATTACTCTGTCAGTGACTTGTAGAGGAATGAAACCCTATGAGGTGTTCAGTGTTCTTCACCATTTGTGTGTGACTTATTCTGCTTCACTCCGTAATGAATTCTACTGCAGCCTCGGCTGGTTTACCTAAGAACCAGGTGAAGTGACATTTCCACTGAATTCCCTGATTCCTTAGTTCCTGAATAAAGCAACAGGCAGCTCAGCTCACCAGCTGACGGAGAATATCACGGCACAGGTCATTGGCCTACAGATTGGTAACTCAACAGCCTGACTACATTCATTTAAAAATGTGTAGTTTGTTAAATACCTCCTCCCATTTGGTTCAAAACAAACATTACCAAAATCATTAAAACTATTTCTTTTTAACTTTAATTTTCATATTTGATGCACTGCAGACATTTTGAGTAGGTTAACTTTAGTTTGTTCTAATTCAAGATAGTTGTAATGATTAGGTCAGACATTCTAAGGCCAAATCAATAAATACATTGAATAACTACAGTACAATGTAACATAACACTCACTTGTTTTACTATGTTTATTTATTATGTTTTTTGGGTTGTTTTTTTTTTACTGCGCCGGGTTAAACTACAGACTTGAATAATTGATCATCATATTTATAAAAAATAAAAGGAAGCATATTAATATATATTAGCAGACGCTACCGCAGATATTTCAATACTGACGCACCACAGTATAGGCCTATCCGAAACTAGAACTATAGATTAAAAACTAAGTATGCAGCCAAAGTCCTTAAACAAAAGTTTTAATTTGGAAGATTTCAACACACTATCAGTTGCACAAGGTGGCAATAAAAAGATTAAATATTAAGTCACCCGACACCACTTGGTCTGCAGAGTATTCCTGCAAATTACACTCCCGAAATAAAAAAAAGAATGGCCTCTGGTTAAAGGAAGACATGATCCACGGCATGTGCTCCTTTTAAACCGAATTTTGCATTAAAAATAACAAGCTATATACTCTAACCCTTAAACCTTTATTTACCCAAGATAATACTGCAGGCGCCCGTTAATGGTATATAATGTTGACTGAGCTTGCTGTTACCGAAGCTATTTATCTGTCACTTATCAAGCGTACTTAAATTAATGTTATGTGACCGTGCGAGTACCCTTCAGACGACCGGACGTTAATTAAAAGAAATGAAATCGTCGACAAACCTGCGTTTTTTCCCTAATTATAACTACTACTGGTTTATATAATTGGGTTATATTCGCATAATGTGGCTGGTTTCCTTTGTCTTGCATTGATAATGGTATCTTCACAATGAATCTATTTCTAGGTCAATAGATAAAAACTCGCCAAGCAAGTCTTTTGAGTGGAAAACCCCTGAATGCAGATATCAGACAGTATAATTCAAGTGACCTGACAAATTCACTTTTGTCAGTGTAATGCTGAATGCCTGCATTGCGTCTCCTTTAGTCGGATTTGTTACGAAGAAGTTTAAATGACAGTTATTTCCTGGTCTTAACTGCTTTCTCAGCGTTTTTATTGTTTTCCTTGTTTGTTTGGCTTCAGGGGCTTTGAAGCAGGTGTGTTTACAAGTTAATGTAGCTGCGGTACAATATTTCTTTACGTGACCAACTGATAAAAAGCAGGAGGGCGTAAAAATATGGCATATGGTGCAGCAGACGGTATTTACTCGGTACTTCTCCTTCTCCCATGTAAGCAGATGAGACACGTGGGTCGCTGCTGTATCGACAGGGGGAGGTGGGGGGGAGTAAATGACCTCAGCCGCTGGCTTATCCGGAGAACCGAGGTAGTGACCGGGGGGGGGGGTGTTACTGGGCTGGAGCGAGTGGCTGTTTGCTCAGGGGAAAGGGACGCCTGCCCTGTGGTTTGGAAGCGTACTTGGGGGAGAAAGTGGCGAGTCAGCAGCACACCCTGCCATCACCCACGGGCTGCGGAGGGCGATTAGCGCGCAGTTTCCCCTTTAGCTTGTGTGTCGAAGAGTAAGTGCGGCAGCTGTATGGGCGACCTGCCTCACCTGTGTAAGGGAGTACCCGGCTCAGACGTCAGATTGCACTAAGGTAGGCGTGATAGTGACCTGTGCACAATTTAAAGCACTTCATAGACATTTAATGGTGTTTTTATGAATATGTGGTGTATTGTTGAAATTGTTAGGTACAATGGGGAGCATCTTACTTGATGTATGTAAACAGGGTATTCTTTTTACTTTTCAGATAGGATATCCAGCAAAGAAATGCAAATTTTTTTACTAGCTTCTGTGACTTGCTGTTAATATATCCATGTTTCCCATTCATTCAGGATTTTTAAAAGCTGTTCTCTGCTTTTGCTGTGTGTTCTTTGGTTTTTGCTGCATCACAGTTCACTGGTTTTCGAAAGAAAGCTAAAAAAGTCAGGCTTGCCCATGCACACATGGGCATATTTACCGCACACACCACTGGTTCCGAATGAGGAGGGTGCCCTCGATTAATGGCACACCTTCCTTCTGTGATGTGATGTTTTGGCGGACGTTCTTGGGAACGTCCCAGTCTACCAGCCCAGAGGACTGTTGGCACAGAAGGGTGAGCCGTCTGGCTCGGGCAGAAATGACAGCATCGTGCAGAATGTGGGGTCGGCCTTGTTTATCTGGGCACAAGCTGGGACTTTCTGAGTCACATTCAACTGTCGCTACAGATGCTGCAGTCAGAGAGGGTGTTTGTCAATCTGAGGTGTTCAGCTTTTCTTAAAAACCTGTGTGTCTAAGGGTGTCCTGTTGCTCATGAGGTGCTGGGGGGGCACCTGCATCAGGGGGTGTCCCATTCAATGGCAATCAAAGACACTAATTGGCTTTACATTGATTAATGATTTAAAAGGACGCTGTTCATTTTTGGGAAAAAAAGTAAAACGTTATTCGTAAAATGTGTTATTCGAACCCTCTTACTTGATTGTGTCTGTTTTATTCTAGTTTGTTTCATATATGATTGGTTTACTGTCCTTTGTGTAACATTTTTTGTTTTTAATGTCCTTTGTGTTTAATGTGTAACAAAATGTCTAAGAGAGAGTGGTCACATTTGTGTTGATTTGTCTCGAAATAGGTCACATCAGAAAACTGATTATTTTCAGACAGCTGGAACAGAATTGCTTTCGTTTAATGAATCAGCATAGAGCTGTGAATAGAGAAGGTCAGTGCTGATTGCATGAGCGTACTGTGTGCATCGCTGCGGCTAGTTGCAGATTCCAGCTTCACTGCCCACAACTTTTCCATTCCAGTCAATGATTGCTGGCTGCTGAGGAACAGGATGTTTAAGGGTAATTGTTCTCCTTGTCATGTGATCCATTTCCCAGACAGTGCAGGAGCTACAGATTCCAAAATTTCACTCCTGAGCAACCGGTTTATTTTCTTTCTTTTCTCTTGTTTTTCAGCTTCACTAATTAAAGCACGACCCTCAAATCCATCTTGCGACAGACGGCTCACAAGGTAAACGCTTCTCTTTCTCTTTTCCTCTCTGCACACAAGGGCTTTTCGTGTGTTGTTACAGCTTGCTGAGCGTGCCCAGAACGGACGACACCATATCTTTTCTAAGAGGCTTATTGACCGGCCAGCAAAAGACACCTCAGGTAGCACATGTGTCGTTTCCGAAGTGATCTCGTGCAGCTGCCTGGAAATGAAATCTGCTAAACTCTATTGGCAGGGAACATTGTTTGTCCCATCTTACACAATGGGATGGGACACTGGAAAACAGCATAATGTGGCAATTTTAAATCATCAATTTTATCGGAGTTGATTCTTTAAAACTTTATATGCAAACAACTTGTAGCCAAGATGAAATGCTAACCACGTGTGTACAGTACTATGCAAAAGTCTTACACAGTCAAAGGAAATGTTTAAAGCTATTTCTCTAAGTGGTAAGGGTTTATGTGCTCAGAACAAAAAACACAATTAAACATTTAGAACATATGAAAATTAAATGTAGCACAGTAACAAAAAACGAACAAGAATTACCTCCGTTCTCCAAAAAGTTACTGATAACTTGTTGGACGGCTAGATGAACACCGCTTCAGTTCCCAAACCAATCTGAAGTTCCCAAATACATGGGTGACTTGGATGGCTGCTGCAAACACTGGGGTGACTTTAGGCCCTTAAACGGCTAAGCTCACACACTTTGACAGACATCACAGACAGACAGACACCGACATGAAGATCATTTGAGCATCATTTTCTTAGACTGCCTTAGACTTTTGCACAATACTGTACATCAGCATTGGCAGTAAAAATGTGGCCCTTTTTCCCCGCATTCAGAGTGCAGTTCAAGACTGAAGTGCAGCCCAAGGGCATGAATTCTGTGTCCCTTAGTGAGAAGCTGGGGGGATATTTTTTTTTAACCACAGAGGGGCTTCGTTTCAGAAGATCGGTCTTGATTTCGAGCTGGATGGCAAACGGTCTGGCAGTGCCAGGAATGGGGACATGGTTACCAGCTGGGGGGGGGGGGGTTGAGGCTTTAATGAGATTGTGATGATATGCTGGGGCTGTTTCCATGGCAACTTCGTAGGACTGTAGAAATGTCTCGAACCCGATACGTCCTCGTACAGGTAGCCTGTGGAGGGAGTCCGGGAGGGGGCGAGGAGGAGCTGGAGAGATACAGTTATTATTATTCTTATTGAATTGTTATCTTGTGTAATGGTTGTAAACATGAGGATGCAAACAGAAAGAATGGGGTTTAAAAACTGCAGTTTAATAAATTTAATTAAAGAGATGATATCAGGGCTGTTTGAAAATATACAATTAATTGCATTGCTGTAAATATTTCTCACCGTTTTGTTCCCCTCGTATTGATATGATTGTTAGTACAGTGATTTGCGTTTACATGCTCAATCAAATCATATTCAAACTTTATTAGCAAATCGTACATCCAGAAATGGCTTTGCACTTTTTTCTTTAATTTTGCAGAATTCAAAAAACTTGAAACTAGAATGAAAATAAGGCAATTTTAATTTCATGTGTCGTTAAAAGGCTTATTCTTTTGTGTCCCTGTGTATTCGCATTTGTCCTTTTGAATTCACTGCAGTATGAATAATTTTTTTACGTATAGCGTCAGTACCGTCTCCTTTGTATGACTTGTTTTTTCATCCATCCTTAATAACCATCCATCCTCAGTAACACACAGCCACACACCAGTAGTAATTTAGAGAAACCATTTCAGTTAAGCTGGACGTCTCTGAGCTATGGGGGGGGGGGGGGGGGGGGGGGGGGGGGAACTGGGGGGCCATGTGAACGCCCCATGCGCAGAGCCAGGGCAGAAATCACATCCACAGCCCGGCCAGAGACTAACCACTGAGACTCTTTCCATTCCTAACTGTTTTTTGAATAATTAATGGCATCTTTTGATACGTGCCAGTGCTCGTTAATAGGCACTAAGTGGGAAATTTGTGAAATTTTGACAGGCAGGTTTTGTTTGCTGGTGGGGGGGGGGATGGGAGCTGTCACATGATCCAAACCAAGTCAGTGGATGGAGAAAAAGGCACGAGTCACTGTTTGTATGGGAGTGAAGTGGAGAAAAGGCTGCTTTTTCGCAGGAAAGTACTTCAGCATTTGAAGCTGAGGTCCATCAGCGAACGTGAGCGAGAGCTGCCTGCTTTTAGGTCTATGAGGTTTTCCCTTTAATTACTCCTCTTTGATACACTTGCACAATCGTTTGTAACAATAGAGTTGGTATCAGTGTTCTCTGCGCACAACTGCTCCTTTCATATTATGTTCAGCCGTACTGGAAAATCTTCCAAGGTCATGCATTTTGCCAAAGAAGAATTGCATCAGACGTTCCATTTGAAAATATACCGAGCTTCACCCATTGGACATCTGTTTTTTGTTTTTTTTTAACCATACCCACCAGAAAAGACACAAATGGAGTGAGAAACGTCACTGTCTGCGGCCTGAGGCGACACTCTGCTCTCAAGCTGTCACTAGGCGACCGCTTTTTAATGCAGTTTTAACTGGAAAGGCAGCCAGGTTTATTGTTGCACGGACCTTTAATTTGACCTGCTGGCAGCCATACAGGGCCAGAGGGAGTCGGTGCTCAGTGGCTGAACAATCGATTCCCCTGTCAGCATTGTTGGTTGCGCCCACCAGTGCCTTGACATAAAGCATGATTGGCTGCAGCGGCCAGTCATCACGTTTATGTCGGTTGGCCTTTGCCACCATGTGAGGCAGAGATAAAACAATGTGACATATTAGCATGTGGAAATAAATTCCACCTAGTGTGAAGTGATCCTGTTTAAAATAAGTTGGTTTAGCAGTTTCTGATTCGTCTTTGAAATAATGCCTGGTCTGTCTTCATAGTGTAACACTATGATATTATGTCTGTCAAAGTGTGTCAGCTTAGCCCCTTCAAAACCTCTCCTAAAGTCACCCCTGTATTTACAGCAACCATCCAATACACTCATGTATTTTTTAATTCAACCACTGCCCCACCTTCTATTGCTAATCAATACCTCATTGAATTATTTAACTAATAAAGTCAATTAATTGAGCTGGTGTGGGACGGTAGGCAGCCTCTGCTGTCTCACACCTCTGGGACCAGGGTTTGAGTCTCCACCAGGGCTCCATGTGTGTGGAGTTTGCGTGTTCTTCCCGTGTCATCGTGGGGTTTCCTATGGATACTCTGGTTTCCCCCCACAGTCCAAAAATATGCTGAGGTCAACTGGAGTTACCACGTTGCCCGTTGGTGTGTGAGTGTGTCCTGTGATGGGTTGACACCCCATCCTGGGTCATTCCCTGCCTTGGGAGTGGATAGATGGTTTAACTGATGAAATTTATGTGTAATGTAAATACATTTATATATAATATGTGACATTTTACATATATAAGTAAAAGGAGGAATAGCTACAGAAATTATTTCTAAATGCATGATATTGTTTTAATGTCCTACTACTTTTGCTAAAACAAAGCAACAAAGTTTATAATATTATCTATAATTTCTTTATAGTAAACATTTTGGCTTAACAAATTATGCATTGTAAAGACTTTTCTCAGTGTAACATCAAATGTATGTGGTTCTGGTCACGGTGATGTACTTTCTGAATGGAAAACTACTGAAACTGCAGAAATCTGCTTAATTAATATGAAATATGCTGGAATCCTTTCATTCTACATTTCAGTGTGGCTTCCTTGCTTTCCGCAGGTCGGCACAGCAGACGCACTATGTTTGGGAACAGCGCTGACCAGTGGGTGTGTCCTAACGACAGACAGCTGGCCCTTCGAGCCAAGTAAGGCCAGCACACTCCTCCGTCTGGGTTTTATTCTCAGCCTCTCCATGTCTGTTCACCCCCTTGATGTCGGAACTCTAAAGCGTTTTGAGCGTATTGAATTTGCTCCTAGCAAAACGCAGCTGTGCATCCAGACGGTCTGATTCTGACTCACAATGAGCCTTTCAGGTGTCGTTATTAACTTATTAAGTTTATCTGTTTTAACGAGACCCACATGTCATCTGATGCCTTCGGTGGTCGGGGGATGGTACACTAAAGATTTCAGAACACGTTGTTTATTTTCTTTCAGCCGTTGGCCCTATTTTCAGGAAACTGAGTACAAAGTGAAAACAGCCGACGTTTCGTTTGCGTAAGGCGGTGCGTACTCTGAGGCCAGAGGCTTGTAGGTTTTGAGGTCAGCAGTTAGTGCTTGACCTGCCAAAAATGCGAAAAATCTCTCCCTAGCTAGGTGGGCTGTTGTGGTGATTTTATTTATTTATTTCTTTATTTTTTGCTCCTAGTCAGACCGCCTTAGTGCATTTTTCACGTTTGTCTCCAAGGTTGCAGACGGGCTGGTCGGTGCACACGTTCCGCACGGAGCGGCAGAGGAAGAGTCAGGCCCTGGACGTCAGGGAGCTGGACGTCATCGTGGGCGTGATGCGCAGGGCTGAGCAGCTGGAGCACAGGGAGCAGTGCCGGGTTGGGTAGGCCTCACCGAATGCGCAGGCCTGACATTAGGAGCCAGGCACTAATTCATGCCGTTTTATCACGGCAGCCCAGACCCTACCTGCTCTGTACCATGACTGTTTATCAGGCATCTGCTAAGAGGCAGAAACACAGACCCAGTTCCAATCAATCACTCTGTGGTCAGCTGCTGAAAAGATCAGCAGACACAATAGTTTCCAGGGAGACCTCTGTTATAATGTAGTTTCTTGACATTAAATGTGACCTTTCAGAATGGTCGCATCTGGTGATGGGTCTCTGTAAAAGCCTCAGTAAGGATTTCGGGCCTGTTTGAAAGGCCTTTAACGGCCTCTTTAGTGCCCAGTACCTAGTTAAACACCGGTGTATGAGGATGAGAGCACCCCAATACCCACCAGACTTCCAAACCATTACAACGTAATAAGTATTATAACCAAACATAACAGGTATTACAAAATACAGAATCTATAGCTTTAAAAGTATTAGCACACATTTTGCTCATCGCACTGTAACTGTTTCAGACTCTTTGACTTTGCATGATTTTAATTTAGATCTTGTGATTGTCTGACCTTTTTTCTCACTAGCTGTCTGGAGCTGCTACATTTTCTCATTTATATATGCCAGAAAAATACAGTTTGTCCAAAAAATCAACCTAAGAAAGCTGTACCAGAATACAAAGAGCCCACTGGTCAGTAGCAGGCGGTGGTGTCTGCTTGGGATGTTCTTATCTCCATCGTGGCTGAGAGCAATACTCCCTTGACCTCTGGTAGATAGATCGGTGAAGGCCTTTGCCTTTATGTGTCCCCCAGGAGACTCGTGGATCGCTTGGATAACATGAAGAAGAGCGCAGTGGGGAACGGACTGACCCAGTGTCTCCTCTGTGGCGAGATTCTCGGACTTCTGGGCCTGCCATCCGTAATCTGTCAAGACTGCTGCAAGGTGTGTATTTCTCAAAACCATCTGCCAAACGCTCCTCCTACCAAAACTCTGTAAACAGAGGCTCCCGAAAACTCAGAAATACTCCTCTTGGCTTCCCTGAAACAAGGTTATTGCGGTCCTGTCAACACACAGGTCAGCCTCTGGTGTCACCAGAGGCTCTGGATGTTCCCTGTGTCTGTCTGTTGACTATTTTAGAAATAGCAATGGATAAATTCATACGACAGAAACAGAAAAGTTCTTGGAAACACTGGAACAGTGAACAAACATAAGCAACAGATGAATTTAACTTTTATATAACTTAGAATATATATTTTTTCATGCTCGTCTGTGTTGTCAGCCCGATCTTCTCGTGTTGTGCGCTTGTTTGTCCAGCAAGGGGATGGATTAACGCTCAGCCGAAGTTGCTGCGTAACGTGAAATGTGATTTTAATATACATAGCTCATGTTTCCCTGCTCACTCCTGACAACTGTGGCAAAGCGTGACAAAGATCCCTGGCACTTATATTTAATGAAATCAAGTAAGAGGAAATTAAAGTGCATGAAAAAACAGTGCATCCAAGAAGAAATGTAATGAACACCCTGACAGCAGAAGGGGATTGGCTAGTCTTTCATTGGCAGCGTGGCGAAATGGCCAATAAGGAAGCAGTTTCAGAACGGAAAACCAAAAGTGTTCCAATTACATTTTAGGTGACCTTGTGTTTTTTGATCATGTTATCAGTCCTGGTAATAATTTACCATTGAAAACCCCAGTCTGCAGTCTAGGAATGTTTAGAAATGGTGGGGGAAGGAATAAATTTAAAAAAAAAAACATTTCAAGATAACATTATGTAACATATTAGAAAAAATACTATTTTTAGAGTGTGCTTTATTTAACTGAATGCTAATGGTTTGTTGTTTACAAGTTGGTTAGATAGGCTATTAAATGGAAGATAAGTGCATGGTAGGAACAAATTAGATTCCTGAGCTTACTGTCTGAAACCACAGGCGCAAACAGACTGCTCTCCTAAAATCTGTTACAGAACAGCGACATACTGCACCATGCAATATCTAGATCTAAACATGTGCAAGGGCGTACTAGATCAGTGTTTCCCAATCCAGTCCTCGGAGACCCACTGACGGTCCATGTTTTTGCTCCCCCCTAACTCCCTTTTAGACAATCCACATTTTTTGCATGTGGACTGTCAGTGTGTCCCTAAGAACCTGACTGGGAGACACTGGCCTGGCTGTAGCAGTGGCGTAGTTTAAGCTGACTTGGCAAAGCTGCCACCTGGAATTTTCAAAAGAATTTTCCTTTTCCAGTCATGTTACTTCAGTAAATAGATACATTCTGCTCCAGTTCCTCTGAATTTAATCACCACAGACCCAGGAACTAAATTTTGCTAACAGGATGTTTTAATTCTAAACGCCACACTTACCAACATGTGTAACACCCAGATTACTTTTTTTTTGAAGTCTTCGTGTATTATGATCCTGTTTTATCACTTATCATTCCAGTATTGTGAACCAACCTTAAAACAAGAATGGATGTTTGCTCAGGAACGTTTTACTTAGTGTGCCTGTGGAAGATGGATATAAATAAGGAAATTAGGAACTTAGTTGCAAATACTTTTTATGACAGCCCTAATACATTTTTAAAGTTTTATTTTGTGGCCGTCTGGAGAACCACCTTTATAATATGGCCAAAGGTATGAGGATGCCCTATTAATTAGATTAATTGCCTAATTAAGGACACAGGTGTAAAATTAAGCATACATTTCTGCAACGTTTACGCAGCAAACATCTGCAGCAGAATTGCTGGTTGTACAGTACAGAAGACGTTAGCGACTTTCCGCTTGGCACCATCGCGGGATGCCATCTTTCCGACAAGTTAGCTTGTCACATTTCTGTCCTGCTAGAGCTGCCCTGGTCAGCCGAAAGTGAAGTGATTGTGAAGATCAAATGTCTGGGAGGAAGTTCAGTAATGAAGTGGTTTCATCACACAAGCTCAGAGAGGGACCTGATCACCCAGCATCAATACCCAACCTGCATGGCAACAAATCCCACCAACAATGTTCCAGCATCTAATGGGAAAACCTTCCCAGAAAAATACAGGCTATCCAACCAATTCACATCAATACTCTTGGTTTCAGAATGAGATGTTGGACAAGCTGGTGTCTGCATACATTGGATCATATAGTGTATCAGAGAGCAGTGACGTACATTTCTGCTTTGGCTTCGCAGAGTAGTCAAATGACAATAATGTAGAGTGTTTCTGTTATTTTCCACTAGCTGAAGCTCATCAGTTTTTGCAGTCACAACATTGAGAGAAGGTTGACCTCTTTAATATTGGCTGAAGTGACCTTTTCGCACACGGATCAAAGCTCTTGGTCAGCGAGACGTGCTCCATTAGCCACCGTGTTTGCGTGTGTCTATACTATTGAGCTTCTGATCTTCAGTTTGTGTGGCTCACATAAATCTTTCACCAAGGTTGTTAAGCACAGTTTTTTCCCCCATCATAAAAATATCTCTGTTAACCATAGAAATTAAAAATGAATTCACCTTCCTTATGTTAGTAAACGCACATTAAGCTCTCCAGTGTCGTACGTACTTTTAATGCTAAACACTTTAGCTTTAATACAAAACTTCTAACCCTGCTATATATAAACTGGCATGTTTTGAGTGTTCTCTTGTGTGAAAAAGCCTTTGAAAGCCCTTAAAGTATTATCTTGTAAATGGCAGAATTGCCACAAGATGGCAGTAGATCACAACTATCAAAATTCACTGCTGCGCAGCTGAAGGTTTTGAGCGAAAAGGATGTTTGCAAGCATTCCCGCTGACCGAAGTCTGATTACCTGCCGCCTTCCTGGTCTCACTGAGCCCAGATGGCTGGAGGTGAATCACTGGGACTCCCCAGGTCGCTGTGTGTAATCAGAGGGCAGTGTGGGACATATGGTGCCCTCGTGTTTAGGAGCAGACTTTGGAGACAGGTGAGAGCCCAGGCCCTGGAAATAAACTGTGATCGCCAGGGGCCACTGGAAATTCAAGGGGGGAGATGGCATCTATTTAGGTAAACAAGCAGTAGCGAATTAGTTTGTGTTAGATGATTTGTATTGTGTACCTGCATTAGGCCACTTAAAATTAATAAATTGTTTTACATGGCCGCCCGCCTCAATTTTTTGGTGCCGCCTCGATTTTTTAAATATTTTATATTTAAAACTGTCAGAGATCGTCAATGTGCCAAATCCTGATATCCTGTGCACTGTGAGCAAGTAGTCTCTTGTAGGGTGGTCCAATAATAGTGACCCTCATTGAGGTCAAATAACAGCACTTCTATTGTTTGAAACAATGGAAGTGCTGTTGTTTTGCTATTGTCAGGAGGACGCTTTTATTGGGCTATTCTGTGGCAAGACCATTAAACACTTAGACTAGGCATTTGTTTTGAAGGTTTCTCTTTTCTTGTAATTGTTTGAACTGTTGAGGGTTTAAAATGTTGAGATACTGACAAATTAAAGTTTAATTTTCTAGTTTTAGTATATCTCTGTTGCCGTTCGTCTTTTCGCTAAAAATATAAAATATAAAATATACAATCCCCTACTCACCAATATTTTAGAAGTTTGAGTCATGTAAAACAATTTATTAATTTTAAGTGGCCTTAGGTGACGTTCTATTTAATGCTGCATTCCTTACCTGCGAGCCCCGTTTTTCATGATCAGACTTTATTCGTTCAGGTTGTAAGTTTGATGAAGCGATAAACAGCTAGTAAAGTAAGGTCCCAGATCATTTTTTTTAAAACGACATATTCGACTAGCTATGTATCGTGTAAAACTGCAGCCACGTTTAGTACGTTAAAATCTGTTATGACACCACAACTCGTCTCCAACAGTAAGTTACGCCTCTTTAGATTTATGATATGATATGGATGCAGTGATATGTTTGAATATGTCGGTTCATTTATTTTTTTGATAACTGATGATACCTTGTTGCCTGGAAATGAATATCTACTGTAGTTTGCGATGTTGACTATCGGCTAATGTTCCTTTTATCTGACAGTATGTCTGAGAATGGCATGTCAGTATTTTCCATCCTTTCTAGCTGCCGAGTTCTGTTTTTGGCAGACGTCGCTATCTACAGCTTTGAGTTTAAATGGAATTCTCCAGCAAAGTCTCTTCATAGCATTTAATTGCAGAAGGAGCTCTTTTCCTGGGAGCCGTCTGACAAAGAGATGTGAGATAGCGGGAAATCCTAGGGAAGGGTTCCATGGGTTCCCTGCTATTTTTCCAAACTTAAGACAGAATTGCTCAGTTTAAAACATAATTATGAACCCTTTGGTGTATTTTTCCCAGAAAAATCGCCTTTGTCCCTATTTTGACAACCTGTCATTGGAATGGTTTAATTTAACAATTGAAGTCCAGCTATTTTAATGTATCCAGTTGTCTGTGAACAGTTGTGTTTTGTCGAAGTTAATTGCTGTCATGATGTTATTGTTTGTTCTTCTTTGGCCTTAGAAAAGAAAAGTATGCCATAAACAATCTAGGTTTATTTGTGTCTGATAAGAAATTCTTAGGCTAATGGCCTAACCCCACCTCATTCATTTGTTAATTACTATGGATTTATGCAAGCACTGGGGGGGGGTTTGAATCACACCTTTGCTCTGCGTTTGTGGATTTTGAGTGATCTCCCCTCACATTACAGGTTTCCTCCAGGTTGTTGGGTCCCCTCCCACAGTTAAACAAACTGGCATCTAAATTTCCCTAGTGTTATGAGATAGACCAACATATTAGTTTGTATTTATGTGAAATTCACTGCATTTTTATATGTCTTCACTATATGACTGCACTGCATTTTTGTATTTTGCTCAGTTTTTCCTGTCCCTGTTACCACTCTACCTTCAGAAAGTGTGCACCAAGTGTGGAGTGGAGAGCCTGCGTGGTCAGAAGAGAACGCAGTGGCTGTGCAAGATATGCAGTGAGCAAAGAGAGGTGAGTGTCACTGCAGTGCAGCCAACAACATCCCAGTAATCATGAAAAACATGCGTCTTCAAGCCATATGACGCACTGCTGTTAAAAATCCGAAACAAACATGCTGTGGTTAGGTGATTTTCTGAGAGGTTTTTGAAAGGGTCTAGGAACACTCTTTATAAAGTAATGTTGGATGTTAAATGCCCACTTTCACAAAATGTTTTGGAAGTTTGTTTTAGAAAACTATTTTCCATAATTGTAATGTAAAAGTTTGCAGCGGTATATGAAACAAAGTAGACTGTTTTCAAAATGTATGTATTTTAAGGTAGACTTGCGTGTAGCATTTGATCTAAGCATATTATATGATTTGGATTGTATTGTGGCACATTTAAGACATACCTAAATCCTGGCAAGAATTGCCTGGAAATTACAGAAATATTAATGTTAAATTAATTTGGAATTTCCTCTATAATTCATTAGTATGTTTGGTTTGGAGCATGCCAGAGATATGTAGTCTGAGGGTGTCTTACTCTACAAGTAATAAAGCCAGTGGAACAAAGTTTCAGTTCTTTTATACACCAAACAGTTACTAAGGCCAAACAAATGATTTTTTAGTTTCAATTTTCCAGTCCATAAATGTGATTGGTTCTTTTTATTTCGAGTAAACATTGGGTGTGAACATTATCCTTATTTTCTGCCAGCGAAGAGAGGTCTCGTATTTCTAGTAAGTAATTCCCAGATTAGTAAATCCATTCATTTTACATTTCTGATTTCATTTATATGTTTGTATGCCACTAATGAAAGGATTCTTTGTAAAAACCAAATACCTGTATCTGCTTTACAATTTATCTGGAGAGCTATTCTATTTGAACAGCATAATTTGTCTTTCTTTAAAATAATCTCTGCACATTGTGCATCAAAGTGATGACCATTTGGAATACGGCGGAGATTTTGCCCCATTATTAATGATAACCTGGCCATGGGTCATTAGCCAAGGCCCTGTTACCTTATACCGAAGACATGGTGTGGATGTGCACTCAGTAGCTAAGAAAGGTAAACATGCAGACAGGGTGGTGGAAATGAAGTGAATCTGCACGCGGTGGAAGGGGCGTGTGACTGTATCGCAATGAATATAATATCAGCTGTTGTAACTGGCCCTCGAGATCCTGCAGACTGGCACTGGGTCTAAGTTGACGTCTGAGCTGATCCCACACGTGTTTGGTTGGGGAAAGATCGGGGGACCTCAAACTGCGCAGGCAGTCCATAGACACACGTGCCATGTGTGGATGGGCATTGTCTTGTTGAATGACTGTACCAGGGTCTCAGAAGGGGTATGACATGCGGACGCAGGATGTCACTGACAAAATATGATTGGTTCAGAGAGATAAACAATGATTTGTAGAGGAGGTGGGTCCAAGCAATTAGGAGAGGTGGTTGGTCCCACCTCCTCCAATTGCTTGGACCGACCTTCTCTATAATCTGATTGGTTATCTCTCTAAACCAGTCATTTTTTTTGTGTAAATAATACTCCCATGAGCTTGTGTCATAGTTTTACTAAATATTCAATAGGTTTATATTGCCTGGATGTTTGGAATATGTTCAAAGGCACATTTAGAATGTCTTGCCCCCCCAAAAAAAGCTCTTGGTTTTCCGCTGATTTTTCTCATTTTATAACCTAGCCAAGTCTTCTGTTTCTCACAATGAAATTGTGCTGTTTGAATAGACACAGATAAAAAGGGGTGCTGCAGGTTCACAGTCCATTAACCAAGCATGCCTAACCAGTAGCATCCACGGCTGAGGATTTTCCTGTTTTGGCACAAAGAAAGGGCCTTTTCATATACAGTCTTGCTCATAAATCACAAATGGTGAGATTTGGATGGCCACAGAAAACTCATTTGTATATAAATTTGAAAATAAACAATGTGGGGAAGGTGCTGTGTAAATGCAGACTGAAGCGTTTTATGTGTCCTACACGGACGATGCAGATTTCATTCCCTTCACCCTGAATTTAAGTGTTTGACAAAACTTAAGCGAAAGTTAAGCAAAGCATTAGCTCCACACAGCATGACGGGATGCATTCTGACGATCCCTGCGTGTGTCTAGGCTGTGTTGGATGATAATATTAAAAAGTGGGTCTGAAATATAAGGGGGAAAAGGTTAAGGTATGACTTTTTAAATATCATTGGCTGTTATACAGTTATATTTGTGTGCGAAGCTTTTAGTTCGTGGATGTGTATCCTTTCAGTGACCTTTGTCCTCATTAGCTACCACACAGACGGCCGCTGCCTTTGCAGTTCAGGAAGCCGTTTTAGGTGTCATGTTCGCAGTGGCAGGTAGCACATTGAGGTTGTTGAAGGGTGATTAGGGAACGACCGGCCGATACTGACCAGCTAGGTTAGGACTGCAGCTCAAAAAAGTGAAAAATCGCCAGATCAACAGAAATTCATTATTCATGTCTACACCTTGCGTGCTAGTAGAGACAATGAGGGTGTTTTTTTTTTTAATTGGAAGGATCTTTAAAAATGTCAATCATGGAGGTTTCTTGGGATATCATTTCATCCATTTATGTGCAAATTAGTGATTATTTTTTGTGTTAATGTGCAAAAGTGGAGTGAAATGCATGGTGCATCCAAATTGCATGGAGATGGACTTCCTTCAACTGGATGTGAAATCAGCAGCCTGGCCTACGTGGGATTCAGGCAGATTATATATTCTTACAGTGCTTCTGTGGCAATGCATGGTTCAGTTTGGTTCAGTGCTGTTAACTTGACCCTGACTGGTTTGAGAAAAGCAGTGTGAAATCCTGACACTTTTTCACAAGCAGGCAGTAGTCTGAAAAGATCTGAATTTGTGTTTTTAAAGGGCTGTGCCGTAAGTATTTGATCTAGCATTTAATATTGCGTATTTGTATTTCAGTTCCAGGAACTACCTGGAAGTTTGTCTTTGTCTGACGGGTCGTCTGCAGTCCGTCCCCTGGATTAGTGTGGCTACGTGTTGATAGAGCGCCTTTGTGTTACTGAAAGCTTTAATACAACCAGGGTTCTTCCTTTGTCAAGCAGTGAAAAGGTCAGGGAGTGAAAGGTGCCCGGAGATGCGCAGAGGTGTGCGTTTGCTCATTTTCATTATTCCTCATACCACCTTCGCTTAGAGACATTTCCGGTGATGCAATTCTGTGAACCTTCCCTTAGTATTATTCGTCAATCAGACTCGCAAGAGCAAAGTGCTGGTGATAATCTCCATTGCTGGTGAGGGAATCCTAAAAGAAAGAAATGATTATGAGTTTCTTACTGCGCTAATCTGTCATCAAATACTCCATCATCAATCATAAATACTCATCAAAGCAGATTCGTATAGGAAATGTTAATCCTTCGCTTTAAAAAAAATATCTAACCTGTTTATCACCAAACTCATCTGTAAATTGTGTCTTTCTGAGCATTAACATGCTGTTGTATCTCAGCAGATGACTTCATCTTAATTTCAATATTAATTTTAAGATTTAGAAAATTGTAATATTAAAATTGCTTTTACGTGAAAGAGAGGGACCCCTGCTTTGGGGAATCATTGGTCTTTTGGTATATGAAGGAAACCTAGATGAAGGGAAAAATGCTCAGGAAATTAAAATGTATTCTGCTAAGTATATAGAGTTCTGCCCTCTAGCAAAATTTAGAACAAATTATGGGTGAGTCAAGATCAAGTCGGCCTCTGTTTTTTTTTTGGTTACTGATTTAAATGCTTCTTTCATGATTGCTTATGATTGCTTGTGATTAACATATGTTGTTCTTGCAAGCATCGCCCGCACCTAAGTGTGCTGGAAAAATAAACCTTCGGGAATCACTATAAGTAGAAGGTGTTTCTTGGGCCTGATTAACCGTAGCTTTTTCTCGCATATTCCGTAATTGATTTTTGAGTTTAGCTGCTGGTTAAGCATCAGCTACAGATTTGTGCTGATCTGCAGTCCTCCCCTATCTGACTCTCTGATAGATTCTGACGGCACGACCACTGGCCTCTTGTTAACTATCACGCTCACTTCCAGAAGCTCCTGCAGTCTCACCTACTCATCCTGTCCAGCCATCAGCCATCTTCCTATTACACTTTCATTAAACAAGCTAGAAGAAAGACTGCTCCATCCCTATCCCACCAGTTACAGATTGTATTGATGTTATCAGTGCATTCCATGCCATTAATGCTGGGAGCTGGGGGGGGGGGGGTTCTCTCTTCATCACTGTCACCCCCAAGTTAAGTGTGACTCGTTATCAAGATGATCGGTTTTATTGAAAATGGCTTCACGTGCTCTGTGAGTCATGGCGAACTTGCGGAGACTTGTTTTTCCAGAGATTCTCCCGCTAGATCGTCATAGTAATGGAGTGCAATGGGGTGTTACATTCTGTCTGGTACAATATGATGCAACATGGGAAAAAAGAAAACTGCTAAAGTGTTTAAAAAGTCACAGGCAGATTTATAAAGCTTCTGCAACAGAGAAAAATGAGCAGCTACATTTTCCGTCTCAGCCATGACTTTTACTTTGAAAGTGAAAGAGATTAGATTAGATTCAACTTTATTGTCTTTGCCCGAAATCCTCGAAATGTACAACACAATGCAGTTTGGCATCTAATCTGAAAGTGTGAAATAGTGCAGAAGTGCTAGAAAGAGCTTACAATATATACATGTCTGATAAATAAATAGAAAACTATGCATCTACACTTGGTGTGGTATAAATAATGAGTATATGCAGCATCTACGATTGCAGTAAAGAATGAGAATTCCGTGTGTGTGTGTGTGTGTGTGTGTGTGTGTGAGTGTGAGAGAGAGAGAGAGAGAGAGAGAGAGAGAGAGAGAATAATATGTACAGTACCAGAGTACCAGTCAAAACTTTGGACATGTCAAGCTACCTACAAAAGAGAGAGTGTCATATCACATGACCTGGCCATCTGACTTATACACAGTAGAAATGGTATTGGAGTAATTTAACCTGAGAGTGAAAGAGAAAGTAATGGAAGTAATTTTCCATTAATTCCCATATATACCTGCCAATTCCCATGGAAAATTTTCAAAATTCCCCAACTTAACTTCCCCTGGAATAGAAAGTTTCTGGAAAGTTCAATA